AGGTTAATTCCATCCTCTAACACTTCCCCCACCACCAGTGCTTAGGAATTCGCTCCTGCCCACGTGTGACTCACCTGTCATCTGAGAGGGGACAGTATTGCATGGTTTACCACTCCCCTCACAAGCCCCTTTAAAAGGCCCGTGAAGCAGGGGTTCGCTCTTTTTCTGGTCAGATGCTTCCATTGCTCTGGCACCTCAACTCTTGGCTAACCCGGACAGGTAATCCCCTGAGCATGGTCCCTGTGTACTGCTTAGATGGGACAATGGATATAGCCAAGTTTTTTCTGGTTTGTGTACTATCAGGAGTTCCAGGAAAGGTGAGGTCTAGCAGTAGTGGAATGTGGGCAGAGAAGCCAGGGAAAGGTGAGTGTCCGCAGCTTTGTAAGTGTGTCCAGGTTATTCGTTGCATGTCTCTTAGGATAACTTATATTGTTGGGGAAGCTGGGAAAGAGGTCTTTGGCTTAACAGATGGACTTGAGGGTAACGACCATTTGTTCCTCTTGGGGTTATGTTTGGTTGGATTATGTTTGATTGGGTTATGTTTGGTTGGATTCTGATTGGTTGGATTGCCGTATGGACTTGTGATTTGCTATTCTAATGTGCTCTATTATCACCAGGCTTGGTTAATAAAGACTCCTTAATAAACCTTAGACATGTCTGGTGTGATCTTCCTTGCACCCCGTAACAAAACCTTCCTTGCAGGTCAAGAGGGAATGTGGTGACAGCTTCCCAGTGCTAAAGGAAAGGCCTGCCAAGAATCCTGTACCCAGAACAGGTACCCTTAGACATGAAGGAGAGAAAAGCACTTCAGAGAAACAAAGCTGAGAAAATTTATTCCCACGTATACCACAGACATAATAGAGTTCTTTAAAATAAAGTAAGAGATACTAACAAGTAATAGGAAAAAAAATACTATAAGGTACAAAAACCATTGAATAAAGGGCTTAAAGGTAAAGCTAAGTATCTATAATGAACTTCATTTTTTAAAGATTTTTTTTTTCTTTTTTTGCAAAGTCAGTCACACAGAGAGGAGGAGAAACAGAGGAAGATCTCCCATAATGATTCACTCCCCAGGTGGCTGCAATGGCTGGTGCTGCACCAATCTGAACCCAGGAGCCAGGAGCCTCTTCCTGGTCTACCATGATGGTGCAGGGTCCTAACGCTCTAGGCCATCCTCGACTGCTTTCCCAGGCCACAAGCAGGGAGCTGGATGGGAAGCAGAGGTGCTGGGATTAGAACCGGTGCCCATATGAGATCCCAGTGCATTCAAGCAAGGACTTCAGCTACTCTGGGCCCAGAATCAACTTATTTTTTTACTTAAAAACTGCTAAGAATACATCCTTGAAAGAAAGGTATTTTTAAAAATATGAATAGCACTGGAAATTAAATACCTATATGCGCAAGAATGTATCTCTTTTTATTAGAAAAATCAACCCAAAATTATTTAAGAACCTAAATGTAAAGCCTGAAACTGTTATTAAAAAAAAAAGAAAAAAAAAAAACGCAGGAGCTGCCACTGTGCTTTATCTACTTATCTACTTAAGCCTCTACTTATGGTGCTGGCTCCCATGCAGACATGGGTTCAAATCCGAACTGCTCCACCTACAATCCAATTCCCGGCTAAAGGCCTAGGAAAGCAGCAGAGTATGGCCCAAGTCTTTGGACCCACGTGGGAGACCTGGAAGAAGCTCCTGGGTCCCAACTTTGACCCAGCGCAGCCTTGCCCATTGTGGCCATTTGAGTCAGCAGATGGAATATCTATATGTGTCTACTGCTCTCTGTAATTTTGCCTTTCAAATAAAAAAGTAAAGAAATCTTTATATAGAAAAAAACTAGGGAAATCGTTTGTGACACTGAAAGGGAGAAGGATTTTATTGATAAGGTCCCACGCACAGGAACCAAAAGCAAAACATACAATTTCATCAAACTTAAAAGTTCTCAAACAGCAAAGGAAACAACCAACAGCATGAAGAGACAACATGGAGAAAAAGTGAAAATACTTACTATATACCTGACATCACGTTTAATACTCAGAATGGACAATGAATTCAACTCAATAGCAAAGGAACACATAATCCAATTTCAAAGGAGTAGATGTCATAGCCATTTTTCAAAGAAGACACAGAAATGGCCAAAATGTACATGAAATAAGTACTCACATCACTAATCACTAGGAAAAAACAAACCCAAACCACAAAGAGCCATCATCATCTAACTTAGAATGCCTACTATTGAAACCACAAAAGATAAAAGAGCTCACAGAAGAAAAGGAAAGTCTTGCAAATTATTGGCATTATGTAAATTACCATAGTCTTTGTGGAAACCGATATGGAGGTTCTTCAAGAAATCAGAAAGAGAGACCAGCATTGTGCCACAGTAGGCCAATCATCTGCCTGTTGTACTGACACCCCTTATGAGTGCCAGCTTGTATCCCAGCTGCTCTACTTCCAATCCAGCTCCCTGCTTATGGCCTGGGAAACAACACAGGATGGTCCAGGTCCTTGGGCCACAGTACCCAATGCGAAACCTAAAAGAATGTCTGGCTCCTGGCTTCTGATCAGCCCAGGTCCTACTGCTGTGGCCATTTTGGAAGTAAACCAGCAGATGGACAATCTCTTTCTCCCTCCCTCCCTGTTTTTCAAATAAAAAAAATAATAAAATAGATTTTAAAAAAAAGTGAGAACTACCATATTATCCAGACTTCCCTTTGTTGGGTATATATAACCACAGATAATGAAATCAATCCATCAAAGAGATGTCTGCACGTCCCTGTTTACAGCAGTGCCATTCAAAGCAGGCAAGAAATGGAAACCATCTAAGTGACCATCGGCCTCTGAATATGGAAATGGTGTTGGGGCATAGTGGGTTAAGCCATAGCATGTAATGCTGGCATCCCACATGGAAGTTGGTTCAAGCTATGGCTGCTCTATTTCCAATCCAGTTCCTGATAATGCACCTGGAAGATCAGAGGAAGATGGCCAAAGTCCTTAGGCCCCTGAACTCACCTGGGAGACCCGGATGAAGCTCCTGGCTACTGGATAGATACAGTATGGCCCAGCCCCAGTTGTTCTGGCCATTTGGGGAGTGAACCACAAGATGGAAGATTCTCTTGCCCTCTGCATTTTTCTCCCTCCCTCTCTGTAACTCTACATTTCAAATAAATAAAATAAATCTTTAAAAAAATGAATAGTGGGGCCCAGCGCGATGGGGCAGTGGTTAAGGTCCTCACCTTGAACCCGCTGGGATCCCATATGGGCGCTGGTCTAATCCTGGCAGCCCCACTTCCCATCCAGCTCCCTGCCTGTGGCTGGGAAAGCAGTTGAGGACGGCCCAAAGCTTTGGGACCCTGCACCCGTGTGGGAGACCCGGAAGAAGTTCCTGGCTCCTGGCTTCAGATCGGCATAGCATTGACCATTGCACTCACTTGGGGAGTGAATCATCGGACGGAAGATCTTCCTCTCTGTCTCTACTCTCTGTATATCCGCCTTTCCAATAAAAAACTAAATAAAAAATAAATCTAAAAAAAATAAAATAATTGCAGCTGTTCAACTTTAAAGAAATGAATAGTGGTACATTTACATGTTCAATCATTAAAAAGGATAAAATGTTGACCTTTGCAACAACTTGAACGGCACTGTTGATCATTATATTCAATGAAATAAGATGGAGGCTATACAGCAGTGGATACCGAGGCTGAGGGCAGTAGACCTAGAGGGAGGGCTGGCGAAAGTTAGTTAATGAGGAGTAAGCTACAGTTAGGAGTGCTGGTGCTGTACTGCAGTTAGAAGACTACATATAGTAATCACACAACACACAATTACACAGACATATGTATTTCAAAAGCTAGAAGTAAGAATTTTGATTGTTTTCACCAAAAAATTAGGTATAAGGTGAGTTATACTTACATTTAACTTTCACAAGCTATTCATATACCAAGACATCATGCCGTACCTGAAATAGAAAACAACTTATCATTTGCTTATAGTTGCTTAAACTTTGCTCTTGCTCCTTGGAGCAATTGGATAATAATAACTTTGATCCAAAGTACCAGAGAAAATACGGTCACCCTTTGTTCAGCATTTATTTTTGATCCAGACCCTATTAGCTTAGTCTCCACCACTACCGCAGCAAGTGAGGGGTTATCATCACATTGCAGGAAGAAACTGAAGCTCAGAATTTCAAGTTGTTGCCCACAGTAACACCTCCCCAAAACCCCACAACCTGGATCTGAGTCCCAAGCAGTGTGGCAGGAAGCCCTGCCCCCTGGACCTGGGTTCAGGACCCCGGATGACACATCTCCTAGGAGAGCACTCACACAGTGCCAGCACAAGGCTTGAGGCCCTTAGCTAAATTCTTCACTCTTCAAATCAAGCTCATAAGGTGGATGTCACAATTGCCATTTTGTGATGCGGACTGAACAGAGAAGCTAAATTACTTCCCAGGTTGCAGTTATCACAAGAAGGACTGTCACATGGACGCCAGCTTATCAGCTCCAATGTCTGTGCACAGGCACCTGACACAGTACACTCAGGGGCCGAAGAACAGACAGCAGCTGCCTTACCCGCCTCGATGATTGCATAAACCAGGATTTGCATGGTTGTCAGGAGATGAGATAATATTTATCAAGTCACATTCTTATGACTCACATCCTTGAGGTCCAGAGTTGATAAGGCTTCGTGTGTGTGCGTGTGTGTGCGTGCGTGTGTGTGTGTGTGTGTGTGTGTGTGTGTGTGTGTGTGTGTGTGTAAGGCTTCCTTATGTCCCATGTGTGCATGAGGCTTCCTGTGTTGTGTGTGTGTATAAGACTTCCTTATGCCGCATGTGTATAAGGCTTGCTGTGTTATGTGTGTATGTATGTGTGTGAGGCTTCCTTATGTCCCGTGTGTGCACAAGGTTTCCTGTGTTGTGTGTGTGTGCATGTTAAGGCTTCCTGTGTCATTATGTGTAACATGTGAGTATGCATGCATAAGGTGAAGAAAGTCTTGATACTGAAAGAGAATACTGTGTTGCTTACCAAGGCCTCTCAGTTTTAAAATCAAAATCATTATCTAATGAGTCGCAATTTGAAAGCCCAGTACTCACTGTGGATCCATTTCTAATTATGCGGATCTTTTTCAGAGAAAAACTTTTCAGATGAGTTAGATTCTTCAAATTCTCCTTGCTTATCAAATCCAAGAATCATTAGAGCTAAATGGAAACGAGTGTCCAGCAGTATGGACAGAACCGAGTGTTTGCAGGGTTAAACAAGCCACAGATCAAATGTCAATGCAATTGATATAATTTTATTGTGCCATAATTTCAAATTTACAGAAAAATTTCAAAAGCAGTATAAAAGATTACATACACACCTTTACCCAAATTAACTAAACATGTTGTCCTATTCATTGTTTTGTCACATTAATTTTATAATTATATAAGAATTTTATAGCAACTTACAATCAATAGCAGCAATAGAAGGGTGTAAAGTTTTTCTAAGCAAACATTGCAGCTAGGTCAGTGAAATCTACATCTAATTTCCAGCCTTGTACTGGAAACTTCAGGCAATTTAACTGAACCTGAAACCCAACACCCCAATCAGGAGTGATGACTACTGCCAAAACATCTAAAAACTCCCAGAATAACCACTGCGGGGCCTCATGATGGAAGACTCCAACGTGTGATGCTTTGAAACGCTGAGCGCTGGAGTCACGTGACCTGGAAGGCCCCAGAAGCTGCCTTACAAATCAGGCCTCACCTACTCCTGTTCTGCCCCCAGGAACACACTTTCTCTGCAGTTCCCTACAGGACTGAAGAAACACCTTCCAAAGAAAATTTCCCTAGGAATCTCATCAAGTAACAGAGAAAGATCAGCCAGCTGAGAAGAGAAACAGCTAAATGCCACCAGGCCCGACCAGACGTTGCCTCTCTTCTGCGAGGGCAGCTGAACAAGCTGCTGTTGGCTCCCATTGAGGGCTCACCATCACTTCTGTAACTTGTCTCCACCTCACCCCGAGCTCAAGACCATTGTCTGCATTCTGGGATCATCCATTTAGACTCAAAACCATCTACTACACCTCTAACATTGCCTGGAGAACCCTCCCCACCTTCATTCTGTCTAGCAAACCTTCATGAGCACAGGGAAATTCTCCATTCACTCCTGCACTCCAGTAAAATCCATTTCAATGTGAGCTTACTTTTCAAAGGAGAATCATCTAATGGCCTCTTTAAAAGTTATTTTTTTTGAAAACATGTTTTATAATGAAATTCACAAATTTTAAAAAAGAATCCCATCAAAGAAAGTTACCAGATGGGAACATCAATCAATAGGGTCCCAGGAAGACATGTCCGTGGACATTCAAGTCCCATTCCTTTGGAAATAACAAGGTACATCATTATGATCATTCAGCAAATCTCGGTTAATTAGGAAAGGCCTACCTGACCCCAAAACCTTCTGCACTAAATTCCACAGACACTACCATGGTCACATTTTCGTAATCTGATTGTAACTGGCTCATGTGATGCGAAAGTTGTGAGGTGAAAGGCTAAGTACATAGTCCTGGCGGAGATTCTAGAATGCCCTGGCACAGCCCCATCTGAGGACATCACCTGGGTAAACAGCCTTCCCTGAGAACTGCCATGGCACAGACATTTGACACAGTGAGTAGTTGGCTGGGTGGCAGCAGGCAGAGGCACCTCAGCTTCTCCTTGTCTTTGGCTGCCTTCCGGTTGGCTTTAAGAAGACTCCATTCCCAGCATCCACCGAAAATATAACCTGGACTTGCTCAGTAGATATCTGTTAAGGAGGTCACGTGAAAAGATTGCTCCAATTCACTCTTGCTGGTGGGTTTCCAAGGGTGAAATAGCACGGTTTTCGTCTCCTCGGTCATGAGGAAACCATTGTCGCTAAATCTCCCTGCAATGCTTCCGACATCCAACCACACAAAGGGAGCAACAGCGGAGGTTTTCAGATCAAAAACAAATGTGTCACCTTTCTGAGAGATCCTGGCCTAGAACACAAACAGAAACGAAGCAAAGGATGAAGGGGATCTACACGACCATATACAACGCCCATCAAGAGCATCCACGTGGGCCTGAGAAGCAGTGCACTTCCTACAACTTTGGCTCTCTAAATGCTGAAGCCAAATGCTCTGTGTACAGTTTCCAACACTTCACAATACATGCACAATGATTTAAAGCTTTGGAAAATCACCAAACTCTAACCTCAACCCCCAAAACATGCAGTCTCCAATGATTCAACACACCATGTCACACAAGCAGCCTAAAGGTTTACAACTTCCACAGCTTTCTCAGAGTATCATTAAGAGAGGAATATTTCTACTGAAAATCGGAGGGAAGGTGGCACATGGGAATAAAAGGCTTTCCAAACTATCTGGACATAGTTTTAAAAGTACAACTATGCAGTTGGTAACTGGGTCTTCTAGAAAGATCCAGGAATCTGGAGAGCAGCCAGGCAGACATCACCAAAAGCTCTGCCATCCTCTTCTAACACACTGTAAAGTCACATCACAGCTTCTCTGGCAGGACACAGTCCGGTGCAGGTAAGCGCAAGAAGCACAATAGGGAACAACCCAGAATAGGCAATGAAAATTATCCCACAGGCATACACATGGCATGGGTAGGGGGCAGACCAGCCTAAATCTGTTCACATTACCTTCTGGTGAATCCGAGCACCAGAACAGAGTGTGGGTCGAGCCAGGTTCAGTTGTGCATAAGCTGACCAGCATGTGCATAAGCTGATCGGTGTGACGAACAGTGTTGGAGTCTGTACTAGCAAACTCACTCAAGAATCAGATCTGGGATCAACTCAGATGAAGTTTCTTTGGATATTTCTCCAACTGAACTGCTGATCTTGGAACCCCAACCATCAAGAGACTGTCAGTCAGTGGACTCTGAATAGGTTTCATTGCGGTTGGGACAGTGAGATTGGCAGCAATCCAGAACTGATGAACTATCAAAACTGTTTGAGCAGGACCCTTGGAGCACGCCTCATGTTGGGGATTGGGGATGGGTGGGAGGTAGGGTGGGGCTTTTCCCTTTGTTACTCCCCTAACCCCAGACACAGGGCAAAATGATTATATTAGTGTGGAAACAATGATATTACCCACTTTCACCCTGTAGCCTGTAACCCTTTGTACCCTAATAAACTAAGATTATTAAAAAAAAACACACTGTAAAGGCACATCAATAACATTTTTACATATTTAAATTCCATATGATATCAGCAAAAAGAGAAACTGCTATAGAAATCATGTGGGTCCCATTCCAGGTAACTTGCTGATAAACAGATGCCCAGAGTGGAAATGGCTGGCTGCCAACAGCAGGAGTGTGTGCAGCACTTTCTCAAGGTAAGAATGGACTTGAGTGTGGCCTGACATTCTGAGCTGTGCTTGGGTCACCCTACAGGGCTCCTACACACACACACACACACTCAGCGGGGTCCATTTTCTGCCTCACATGGCCAGGTCACTCTGGCCAGGCTCAGCTCCCACTGCTAGAGGGCCAAAGCCAGAAGAGACACTGGTGCCTTGCTCTCTCTTGTTGCCTTCTTCAGGCAGAAAATCCCATCTCTCATTGCAGATTTTGGGGTCCAAACCTACACCCAAATAGGGAGAAGCTTCTAGCATCTCCCTTGGAAGAGTACAGCTAAGTTCTAGCCTAAGTTAAACTCAAGCTGAATGTTAACTACCATTACTACTACTTCTATTGTCATGACTGTCTGTGTCCTTAGGAGCAGTCTCACCGAAATCCAGAGGACAAAAAAAGAAACCCGACTTCTCTGCCTCCCCAACCAACCAGTTATCTCAAGGTAATGAAAACCCAGCTAAGAGCAAAAACTCTGAAATTGTATAGACAACCCAAATTTGTGCAAGATCCAGCTTTCTTTTCTATATTAGAATGGCATTCCCTTCATATCTATCCTTCATTAATTGTTACAGATAAATTTGGTTTCACAATTAATTTTCCCTTATTGGGCCTCTTTATTTCTTTGTGAAGATGTATTTTTACATGAGTTACAGAGAGAGAAGGAGAGACAGGAGAGAAATCTTCCATCTGCTCGTTCACTCCCCACATGGCCACAATGGCCAGAGCTGAACTGGTACAAAGCTGGCAACCGGGAGCTTCTTTTTTCTCGTCTTTTCTTTCTTTCTTTAATTAATTAATTAAGTAATTAATTGGAAAGTCAGATATACAGAGAGGAGGAGAGGCAGAGAAGATGATCTTCCACCCGATGATTCACTCCCCAAGTGGCCTCAGTGGCCAGAGCTGCACCGATCCAAAGCCAGGAACCAGAAGGTTCTTTAGAGTTTCCTACACGGGTGCAGGGTCCCAAGGCTTTGGGCTGTTTTCAATTGCTTTCCCAGGCTACAAGCAGGGGGCTAGATGGGAAGCGGGGCTGCCGAGATTAGCAGGGCACCCGTATGGGATCCCAGTGCATTCAAGGAGAGGACTTATCCTCTAGGCTACTGTTCTGGGCCCAGCTGGGAGCAGCCAGGACTTGAACTGGCACCCATATGGGTAGCTGGCACCTTCTATGCCACATTCAAACAGAAATTAGGCCTCTTTCAAGTGAAATGCAATGACTGGGTGTTTTAGTTGATTATTTCTAGAGTAAATGTACCAAATCCTTTTCAAAGAAATAAAGGTATATAGCAAATGTAACATTTGTTAAAAGTAGAGAAAGTTTCTAAAAGAGTATTGTCAGTGGTCATTCAGGAAACGGGAGAAGGCAAGGTGTTCAATTAACTAGACATAGATCAAATTCTCCAGCTGCTTGATTTTTATAACTACGCATCCTTAATGATCCTATTTTGCTCTCAGACTTTATAAAGATCTGGTGATTAAGCTACTTCAAAGAAATGCATCAAAGGGAGTACAAGTCTAAATAGACACTACTTGAAATTTCAAGAGCAGGAGTGCTGTTACAGGCCCAGGGCTCTCTAGCTACAGGTCCTTGAGCGCCTCACTTCCCCTCTCTAGCCTCAAATTCTTGTTGTAAATCACACATGGCAACACTTCAGGACTGTAGTCAAAGTTGGAGACTGCACAGAAATGCAGCAAGAACAGGGGCTGGTACCCAGTGCAGGTGCCATCAGCAGAGGTGGCCTTGGAACGCCTCCCCTCCCCACACCAGTCCCGCCCAGGGAGAGGGTGCAGCATGAGCACCCTTAAACAAACCCTGACAGATCCTTGATCTTGGCTTCCCTGAGGCCTCAGGTGCAGTCAACATCACTGGGGAAGTTCACGGAGGGCCAGGGTCATGCTGACAATGCTTACAGTGATCTGTGCCTTGAGGAGCCCCGTAGCCTTCTTCAGGGAGGACAGGAAATGATGGTTGGTTGGGCTGAAGAGTTTAGAATCCGTTGAAAAGAAAAAGGAAACTACGCAGCTTTCCCGCTTACAATTCCCACATCGTTTCATCAATGTCGACACGGGTTCCTGATAAACAGGCGTGGCCATGCCGGCTTTAACCACAAAATGGTTAGTGACGAAGGAGCACACGGGCTTCAGGGAACTCCACGCGTGGACTCTCACCTGAGCAGAAGGAAAAAAGGAAGATGAGCAGCCCTGCTCCCTGAGTTGGTTTCTGGAGAACAGGAGGAGCGACAGCCCAGCTCAGCACAGCTTCAGTCCCAGCCCCATGGGGCGCTACTCCAGGTACTCCAGGTACTCCAGGTACTCCAGGTACTCCAGCTCCTCACGCTCCCACGGAACGACAGGAACCTCACAGGTGACTGAGGGAATTTTAAAATAGTACACAGAAGATGTACCTGATACATAATTTTTCTAGAAAAAATAACCTATTTTCAGTGTTGACATTCTCCAAGTGGCAGCCACATGAGAACTTGAATTCCCACCCTTTCTTTGAACTTAAACTTGTTTTAAAGACAAATTTATTTTCTACATACCCATTCCAAATTGTTCACTATTAACCACTCTAACACCCCCCTTTTTAATCATTTTTGGGTAAAATTTGGACTACTTTCAGCTTCTCATTACAAATAATCTCACATTTAACTGGCACTCTACAGCTTAGTTAATGTATTTTCATCTGGCTTTTTCTTCACTATTCATAGGAATCTTTTAAGAAGAAAGCTTGGTATAGATAGATAGATGAGAAAATGCAGTTGCCCCTTTGTTTAAGGCAGGTAACAAGTGGCAGTTTTAACCCTGATCCATGCACTGTGACTCAACTGCAGATACAAACACCACTCGAATGCAACTTTGGGTTTTCTCATGAGCAGCATAACCAGGTGATGACTCCGCACACCAGGTGACGTACAGTGAGTGTGACATTGGCGTCCCACTGGAGGTCCGACACGGCGTAGATGTGGAGCACATCCTGTCTCTCAAAGCCCACGGGCAGCAGCGGAGCGAAGAAACGCCGAGCAAAGTAGTGAAGCATCTTCCACTTGCCCCCGTACTCTGCAAACAACCGACAAAGTGGGAGGGAGGCAGGCAGAGCCAAGCAGTCCAAAAAAGCGCAGTCCCCCAGGCCCAGCTGGTACCAGGGACAGAGCACACCAGGGGGACCTCAGCACAGGGACCCATGGGAGTGAGGGGGACACACAAGGAGAGCCAAAGACCTGGGAACTCAGGGGGTTGAGGGGTTCTGAAGCTTTTTTGGGTACTGCATCATGTCCCCTTACAACATCCAGATCAGCAGGATCTTAACAAATCACAATACGTGGTCCCTAGAGCTATTGATTCCAACACAGTGCAGGCAGCATTTTGAATCCAGACCTGACTTCCTGTTAGCCTCAGATGGTTCCACTAGCACTCCTCCATGCTTACCACACTCACAAGGGAGGCAGTTTCTAAGGGAGGCAGTTTCTTGAACTGGCAGGCAACACCTGTTAGGAAAACTCATTTAGGATTCCCTTAGCACTCCCTTGGGCACAAAATTCCATGACAAACCAAAAGGACGACCCTACCAATCCAGCTGACGAGCTCTGGAAACCATCCAGACCAATGGCCTTCAGAGGCTGTTCCTCACACACAAGGAAAAGTTGTTGGCATCGGTACAATGCTGGGTCTTGCCCCCATGTCTTGTCTGCTCGACCCACAACTGTGATCTCAGCACTGCTCTGTTTCCAAAAGAGAATCCTTCCCCACAAAGCACTGTTACCACCAAACACACGAGAGCTGGGACACACATCGCCACCTGCACGCACGCAGAAATGTGAATTTGAAGTTCAGTCAAAACTAATTTTGTCAGGGTTTATCAAAACAAAAGCAAAAACCCTTTTGGCTTGGCATTTCAATTCTAATTTGCAGTGCTTCCTCCTATTGGATCTCTAACGTGAACTAGAACTTGCATTTGAAAGGTCTTCTCACAAATGAGACGGCTTAGGAAGCACAGAACAGACTCTGCTATATGGTATCCATTACAGAGGCCAGCACCACAGACAGATAAACTTCAGGGAACAGGCAGTGAAGCAGCAGGTGTCACGGACGCACAGCCCAGGTTACTCATCAGTGATAAAGTTCGGATACCAGCACAATATTCCGCATGACAGGCAAAAATAGTCATGTTATTTTTAACTTTAGCACTGTGGCTTTGTTATTTCTATCATTTGCTCCGTGGCTTTCCATGCTTAGGAACCAAGCAGAAAGATTTTACATTTGCTATATTATAAACTCAAAAAAACACACACACACACTATGGGCCCGGCACAGTAGCTTAGTGACTAAGTCCTCGCCTCGCATGCACTGAGATTCCAGATGGATGCTACTTCATGTCCACTTCCCATCCAGCCCCCTGCTTGTGGCCTGGGAAAGCAGTCGAGGACGGCACAAAGCCTTGGGAACCTGCACCTGCATGGGAGACCTGGGGAACCTCCTAGCTCCTGGCTTCAGATCAGCTCAGCTCCGGCCGTTGCTCTCACTTGGGGAGTAAACCAATGGATGAAAGATCATTCTTTCTGTCTCTCTTTCTCCCTATAAATCTGCCTTTCCAATAAAAATAAATAAAATCTTAAAAAAAAAAAAGGAAAAAGCTATGGCAACCTGCAGATTTTAAGCAGCTTTGATGCCTGCAAAGCATCACCACCACAGGTTAGTACCCGAGAGGCACTACCGCCTCCCCAGCTGCACACACTGTGAGCGATGGTCCCACTCACCCAATCAGACAAGACCATTGAGCTTACCTGGAGCAGGCACACACCCCACCTTGTCACAGCTTCCTTGTGGAGCCTTTTCTCTAGGACAAGTAAGAGGAGCTGGTGGCCTTCTGCCAGAGAAGCAGTCCAACACTCCCTCTGCCAGCGCACTCCTGTGCATGGCTTTACCTTCTCTTTCCGAGCAATTCACACGAGTAATCCACATGCAATCACTTACAGGAAGTTGAAAAAAACCTAGGTTGACCGGGGTGGTGGTGTAACACGATAATCCCATATGATGAGCACCAGCTCATGTCCTGGCTGCTCCATTTCCAATCCAGCTCCCTGCTTACGGCCTGGCAAAGCAGTGGAGCATGATCCAAGGCCTTGGATCCCTGCACCCACATGGAGGCTTGCAGGAAGCTGCCTGGCTCCTGGCTTGGGATCAGCCCAGCTCTGGCCGTTGCAGCTACTTGGGAGTGAAACAGTGGATGGAAGATCTCTCAGTAAATCTGCCTTTCAAATAAAAAATAAGTCTTTTAAAAAACAAACAAACAAACAAAGCTAGGCTGTCCTATTTCTGAAATCAAACTCACCCACAGAAAGAAGGCAGAGCTGGGCCCATGTTTCTCTCATACCTATTTGGTCACCTTTCAAGCAGCCCAGTAAGAGACTCTATCCCCAAGTACACCTCTGATTCTCACTCAGGATGGAAACTTTTATCTGGTTCTCATTGACAGAGAGTTTGGTCAGAGATCTAGGTCTCAAGTTTAACTCCCTAGCAGAGTCGCCCATTTGAAGCCATGTCTGCAACGAACTGCCTTGTATTTGCATTCCCTGCCAGTTGAACTGCCTCATGCGCCAAATGGCCTCTGCTTTATGGCCATGCCTGACCTGGTGCTCTGAACTGGCATTTATATTACTAACTGAACTCTGCTTCAAATATCTCTAGCAAAGGCCAAAGATTCACTACTATTTCATTTTTTAAAAAGTACCAATGTAGATAGGACAATTTAAATAGCTAACTCTAGCTGGGCCGGTCATCTTATCTGTCGTTAGTTGGGTAGGGACCACTGGTAACTTTTCCAACTTGAACTGTGGACTGTTCTACCTTTCACCCAAGAGATAAGAAGGAATAATAAAGCTGATCTGGACTTCAAGGTATTTCAACGCTTAACGCGTCCCATCTCCAACTGGAAATTCTCTGCTTAAAACCAGAATTAAGGCTGTGTTCCCATGGCTCTGCAAAGTGTCCTTCACTGAGTTCTGAACAATCACTGCAAGACACGTGGCAGAGGTCTTTTTCCGTGAGTCTCTGCCCTTCCTAGCCTGCTGTCACTTTGCACAGCATGGCACTTACAATGAGGTTGCTGTGAAGGCCCGTGAAAAGCCTTCAGGTGAGCAGGGTGGCTGCAGGTCAGAAGCCAACTGTAGGACAACAGTCTCCCTTGGCTGTGGTCCTGCTGGGTTCATCTGATAGGTCAGCTGTGAGCTTTCTCAGTGCACCTCCCACAGCTATCACTTTCTCTTCACCCACACAAACAACACTCCCACGCTTACCTAGAGAAGCCCAGGATGGAGCCTGCCAGATGTCATTCAACTGCCAATAAAGTGCTCCCATGGTGTGTCCTTCCCCATTCACTATCTCGCTGCGGCTGCGGAGGTAGAATTCAGTTTCTGTTTTGACACACTGGGCCTGCATCACCTGATTCAGAGGAAAGCATTGACACACAGGTGTTATTGTTTCATGTAGGCTGCCTGGACCTGGGAAAGCACAGGCTTGACGTTGGTCTGGGTTGTTTCCAAAGGCAAACTGGGTACATCTGGGAATCTGACTGAACTAGCTCTAGCTTTATTACACTCCATCTAGAACCAGCCCCATGGCATGAGAGAAGCAGCTTCTTCAGTGCAGGTTTATCTGCAGAATGGGTGTTTGGTTTATTATATCACCTGATAACTCGGGCTGGTGTTGTGGGATAGCAAGTTAAGCTACCACTTGCAATGAAGTCATCCCAAATGGGTACTAATTCCTGTTCCCTACACTCCACTTCCAATCCAGTTCCCTGCTAATGCACCTGGGAAAGCCTCAGCAGAAGGTCCCACTGCCTGGGGCCCTAACACTCATGTAGGAGACTTACATGGAATTTCAGATTCCTGGCTTATGACTGGCCCAGCTCTGCCCATTGTGGCTATTTATGGAGTGAACCAGCAGGAAGTAAAGAACTTCATAAGGACCCTTAATTCCTGAAACTCCAGTCTCTTACTGTTGTTCCTGACCTAGTGTGTGGCACCTGCTCCTAGCTTAATGCTGTACTTGCAAGAGGCTCATGCGAGGTCACCAAAGAGAACCCAGGGAGAAGGATTTTCAGTAAAAGAACAGGGTGGCATTAGAGGAGGGTAGGGATTTTTCACAAAGAAAAAGGGCTGTGCGTGTATGCAGCCACCAAACTCAGAGCTCTCCCTGTTAAGCTAGCAAAGTTCCAAAAAAAAAAAAGGTAGAATTACTAGATAGAAGTAGGCTAGCTTAATTAAAAAAAAAAAAAAGTCATAGATGAAGCTGGGACTTACATGAGCTGGAACCATTAAATTCCAGCAGAGTGAAGCAAAATGAAACCATGGTCATCACATCAATATTTCGTAAGTACCTACAACATGTATTATCCTGCTAATAAGAAGATGCTATCCCAGCAAAAGAAAGCGCAGCCACCCTCATGGAGCTTATTGTTTTGTGTAGAAGACAGGCTATAATCAAAGAATTATATTTTAAAAAAATGAAATAGCTACAAATGCAAAGAAAAAGAAATGCACATGTGAGCTCTTGCAGCTGGGTAATCAGAACCATGCTGCTGGCCCAGGCTGGGTGGCACCTCACCTCCTGTGTCAATCCACAACCCCGGAGCTCCCAGGCCTCGACGGCCAGCCCATGCCTAACTAAGAGGACTAAGAACCTACAACCTTCAAGTATCGCACCTCAGAACCCAGCTCAGCCTGGACTCACAGGAGCAAATTGTGGGGTGGCTCATCTAAGAAGTTTAGGACCGGGTTCCCTTTCCTTAGATCTGACATTTACAGTCTGATGAATAACAGAAGAGTCAAAATGAGAACTCTGATATGGGAACAAGTATCAATGCATCCCAGTAAAGATAATTAAATCATCTCCCCTTAGGCAAAAATGAAGATCCTCAGGACTAAACCCATAACCTATCAAAATCTTCATGCTGGGACACCTGGCACCGGAAGAGAGGATGGAGGACAAACCAACTCGATCAACCACCCGAGCTAAGTAGGTGTGGACTATGTCAGCCAGTGGATTCTGAAGAGATTTCATCAAGCTTGGAGTGGCGAGATCTGTAGCAACTCAGAACAGTTGAACTATCGAAACCACTTGAGCAGTGCCCTCAGAGCATGCCCCACAGTGGGGACCCTGGGGTGGATGGGAGGCTGGGTGTGTCCTTTTCCTTTATCTCTCCCCTTTTCCTGGGATACAGGAAGGAAAAAAGAGAATGTGATAATAATGGTTTTACCCACTTTCCTCTAGCACTTGACCCTTTGCACCCTAATCAACTATGGAAAGATTATCAACAAGCTAAAAATAAAGAAAAAAATCCTCATGCCCATGCTTAACTTGGATCTAATACAAAACACAACTAAGATGTTTTATTGGTACTTGTGGCAGCAGTAACTGTAATTTTATTTTTCCCTGCTTGATGAACTGAAGATACCTTTCAGGGAAAAATTTTGATGAGCAACAAATTATTTATACTCTAAAGCATTTTCCATTCGTTGTAAGCCTAGGGGAGGTCCCCAAAAGTGTTCAGTAAAAATGCCATGCTTGTGTGGGGATGTACAATGACTGTGTAGTGGAGACTGTCATATCCAGATGTGACGATATGGTGCAGTGTGCATCTCTACTTTCAGATCGAGGATGGACTTCCAGTGAAATTGTTGGGTGTGTCATGACAATAGGATGCTGGACTCTCTGCCACTGTCCATGCCTGCAATGACGGATTTACGTTTGTTTATGAGGAAGTATATGCTATGATGATATGGGAGAATTCAACTAGAGGAGAAGATTTGGGGCGGGAAAGGGAAAATCACAGGGCCCATGGAACTGTATCATAAAATGGTAATAATAAAATTTTTTTGGAATTCAAAATATCTAATGCCAGAGGTCAGCATCCCATATGGACATCAGTTCAAGTCCCAGCTGCTCCACTTCTATGAATGTTCCTGGGAAAGCAGTAAAGAATTACACAAGTGCTTGGAGGTAGTTCAGTTGTGCCCAAGCCCTGGCCATTGCAGACAACTGAGGCATGAAGTAGCAGATGGAAGATTCATTCTATCTTGCTCTCCCTCTCCCTGCTTCCCTTCAGCCTTTCAAATAAACAAATCTTCCAAAAACATTTGTATAAGCTTATCTTTTAATTTCATTTTTTCATGCACTTTTTGAGGTATTAGCATACTATATATGGTTCATATCTATTTATTTTGCACTCCACTCTGTTTTCAAATATTTACAATTCTATACTCTGGCAAATTTCCCAGCATCTTTGTAATATTATAGAGTGGTCATTTTTAGAACCAGTACACGTTAGCGAGCCCCTCCCCCAGCATGATTTCCAGTTCATCCATGTCGCAGCACTTGTCAGAATTACATTCTTTCTAATTCTGAATAATGTTTCCTTCCATGTTTTATTTATCCATATTTGTTTATTATTCCTTCACTCATCAGCAGATGAACAGTTGCTCTTATTTTGCAAGCACATTTTGACTACTGTGAGAAGTATAATGATAGATATTTCTGTACAAGTTTTTGCATGCTTTCAGTTTTCCTGTTTATATACCTACAAGTAGAAATACACTCACACGATAACTGAAATCAAACTTTTTAAAAAACTGACAAAATGTTTTCCCTGACAGCTATACCATTTTGTATTCCCACAGAAGGTTTCTAATTTCTCCACATCATTAACAATATTTTTTTCTGGGCCCAGCACGGTAGCCTAGTGCCTAAAGTCCTCACCTTGCATATTCTGGGATCCCATATAGACGCTGGTTCTAATCCTGGCAGCTCCACTTCCCATCCAACTCCCTGCCTGCAGCCTGGGAAAGCAGTCGAGGATGGCCCAAAGCCTTGGGACCCTGCACCCATGTGAGAGACCCGGAAGAATTTCCTAGCTCCAGGTTTTGGATCAGCTCAACTCTGACAATTGGCAGCTCCTTGAGGAGTGAACTAGCAGATGAAAGATTTAGGCAGTGACCCAGTGGACAGAAGATCTTTCTCTCTGTATCTCCTTCTCTCTTTATAACTGTCTTTCCAATAAAAATAACTAAATACTTTAAAATATTTTTTCTTTTTTTAATTCCAGTGTCCTAGATACTTTTCACATATTCCAGTAAGTTTCTTATTTAATGTGCAAGATCTCTGATGTCTGCTTTTATATAACTGCTGGAAGTAAATGTTATAAACAAATACCTCAGTAACTACAGAACTTCCTTTATCTCAAATGTGAAAGGATATAATATGATCTGTCATTCCGAAAGCAGAAGCAGAGCTCAGGTGTGAACCCTTAGATAAAACGCTTACCCTTTCTAAGCCTCTACTTCTCCAACTAGACCATGGACCCAGCAGCGTGAGTGTCCAGAGGTGGTGCGAAGGATAGCAGGGCTCCCAAGCAAGCATTTAGCACATAGCTGGAAAACGCTGATTCCTTCCTTAAATTTCATCATGCCTATATGCCTTCTACTACATAACATCCTGTGTTATTAATTCCCGCTTTGCTGACCAAGCCCCCTGCCCCATCTTCAATCTCAGTGTGATCTGAATCATCCCTCCTGTCTCCTGTTTATCGAACAACAGCTGTAAGAGAAGAGGTGTCAGCAGCCTGCCCTTTCCCCTGCTTCCTGGGACCAAGTTATTTACAATATAGGCAAAGCGGACTCAAAAGAATGTTAAGTTTCCTCTTCATATAAATTCAAAAATTAAAATTTAAAAATTGATTAAAAAACAAAATGGATCTTTTAAAACTAAGTAACATTCCCTAGGAAATCATTAGATGGTCAGTAAATAAGAGGCATTTCAGAAAGTCTGTGGAAAGGGAAATTAAATGAGAAATCTGTTTTGTACATAAGAAATTGAAACCCATAGAATTACTTTCTTGTAATTATTTCCATGAACTTTTAGAAGACTCCTCTAATATGAAGAGTAAATGACAGCAGGCAGAGGGGGCTATCAGCTACGGGACCGGCAAAGACTGGTAGCCGAAGAGGCCGCGCAGGTGGGGGAAGTCACTAGAAGAGTTTAGTCTTCAGACCAGCAAGTGCGAGCTGCACAACACAGCATAGCAGGGTGAGTCTGTGTGTGGAACCCAAGATAAGGGACAGGTGGGAGAATGAAGGGTGAGGCAAGACCACCTTGGAATACGAGCCAAACTGAGGAGGCTAGGGCATGGAGGAGTGCCTTGGTGGCTTTAGAACAAAGAGAAGATGAGGAGGATCTAAACGCCAAGATTTTGCCAATAGCTGCAATACTTCGTACCTACTGGAAACCCTAAAGAAGAGACACAGCCTGTTCTTCCCAACAGTGTAAGAGACTATAAGGAAAAGAATGAGGGGTGGGAATGGGAACAGAGAGTATGCTATAGATGGATTTGATTTGTATTACACAGATTAAAGATGACTGGCTTAATATGAGAGTCACGGGGCAAGGGACACTCTTTTGCTCTTCCATTTCCTATCTGTATTTTAGTCATCAAAAAAATTCAACACTAAAAACAAAATGTGTCATAATTCTGATTTCTTTCACCTGCTGACGTATTAGAAGGTGCCATGGTAGAACAAATACACTGCACCAAAGCAAGTTCAATTCTGAGCCAAACCTGGTTTCTCCAGAATATTACATTCTCAGACAAGCCTATCACCAACCAAAATCTGGTCATAATCAACTCCGTTGTGTGCCCAGCTCCTGCCTATGCCCCTAGAATGCCAGTGAGTTCAGAAAAGAATAATCATTTCTGTCATTTCTTTAAGTGACATTAATAAAATGAACAGCTGGAAAAAGAAAACCTAGCATGAAAAACAGCTGAAAAGGTTTTCACTTGCTCTCTGATGGACCAATAAATTCTGCCTATTTTGTACAACAAAACACTTAAACAGTTATGAAAGCTTAAACGATGAACTGCAGCACTTTTCAAAGAACACACATCAACATTTCCTGCCCATACAATGTTGTGGTAGAGTTCACAGGCAACACATTCCCCTGCCACAACTCCCCTAATTTACAAGAGCATATTTGAAATGTGAAAATTCTCATAATTATCCCAATATCCTTTAGTTTTCTGCTCCAACTTTTATACAAGAGGTTGTGTTTAACATAGGAGAAAACATGAGAGTGAGCTGGAGTTTGAATAAAAATTGATGTATTTTTAGACACTAAGAAAAACATAAAAAATGTGGGGCCAGCTTGTGGCACAGTGTATAAATCCACCATCTGCAAAACCCATTCCCCACACGGATACCAGTTCAAGTCCTAGCTGCTCCACTTCTGATTCAGCTCCCTACCAACGGCCTTGGGAAAGCAATGGAAAATGACCCAAGTGATTGGACTTGCCATGCAAATGGGAGACCCAAATGAAGCTAACAGCTCTCATCTTTAGTCTGGCTCAATCCCAACCCTATTGAGTCACTTGTGGAGTGAACCAGTGGATAGAAAATCTCTCTCTCTCTCATTCTCTCTTTCTCCCTCTCTGTAATTCTGACTTTCAAATAAATGAAATTTGTAAAATACATAAAATGTGATCATGTTTAACAAAAGCTTCTGATTAACTTCAGATTAGCTCTTCTGATTAGAATTAAGTTTTTATCTTCTCTTCAAGAGCCTGAAACCAAGTACGGCAACAATAATAAGTAAATAAGCAGTTCTCTACAAACTAAATGAGTATGGAGTCATGAGTTGATGAAATAAACTGGGCAAATAAAAAAAAAGTTGAATGGAAGCCTTACTATGAAAATATCTGAAAATTTAATTTGGCAGTTTCTTTGAAAATCAAATATAAATATGCCATATACCTCAGCAACACCACTCATGTGTTTCTGCCCCCTCAAAACTTAGACTATTACTATAAGGATTTGCATATTAACATCCATAATTTCATTTTTCATAATAGTCCCAAAATGCAAACAACCTAATTATTCATCAAGTGACAAACATAAACCATGTGTACCCTTACAACAGAATGCTATCTGGCAAGAAAAGTGACTCTAGTACAGTCACAAGAGATAAGATAGTTGAGCTTGATGAAAGAGGCCAGATGCAAAGGATTATACTGTATTTGTCTATTTATATGAAATGCTGAGAAAAGTAAATTCTATAGAAACCAGAAGCAGATTGTCTCCCTGGGGCTGGAAGCAGGAAGGGGAGTTCTGGAAAAGGCCTGAGGGTATCTGAGATGATGGTAGGAGTCTAGACCTGGATCACGAGGGCCAGGCACCCCTAAAGCAGTTCAGATAATGTAAGGAAAGCCCACCGCTCACTCCAGGGTGCCTGCATCCAAATCCCAACTTTTGCTCAATTCCAACTTCTAGCTAATGCTCACTCTGGGAGGCAGCAGGTGGTGATCCTAGTAGTTGGGTCTTTATCACACACACACGGCAGACCAAGTGTGAATTCTAAGCTCCTCCTGACTTTGGCCTGGCCTGACCCTGGCTATTGCAGGCATCTGAAGAGTGAACCATGCAATGGAAGATCTCTCTCAGCTTATTTGTCTTTGCCTGTCTATTTCTGTCTGTCTTTGAAATACAGGAATAAAGAAAATTGAAACGTGGGGATGGTTGCACAACTTTATACTTAAAAATCACTTAACTGTACAACTTAAATTTTATCATATAGCAACTAAATCTCAATAGAAGTCCTTTGAAAATGCATCCAATAAGGTGCCCGGTGTAACAAGCACAAATCTTTTGACATACGCACACACCTATGTAATCCCATATAAAGAAATACAACAAAGCTGTCTTGCACCCCTTGTGAATTACTACTCACCACTCTCCACAACAGTGGTTAATCCTCACTGGCTTCCTTCACCTTGATTAGTCTCCCATATTTAAATTTCAACAAAAGCAATCAGTACGGTATCTGCTCTTTTTTTTTTAAGGAAAGAGTAACTTTCTTTTATTATTATTTTAAATTTATTTTTATTGGAAAGTGATACATAGAGAGGAGAGAGAGAGAAGATCTTCCATCTGCTGTTTCACTCCCCAAGTGGCCACAACGGCCAGTGCTGAGCTAATCTCATCCGAAGCCAGGAGCCTCTTCTAGGTCTCCCACATGGGTGCAGGGTCCCAAGGCTTTGGACCAACCTCTCCTGCTTTCCCAGGCCACAAGCAGGGAGCAGGATGGGAAGCAGAGCACTGGGATACAAAGCAGTGCCCAAATACGATCTTGGCATGTGCAAAGTGATGACTTTCACCATTAGGCAACCGTGCCAGGCCCTCCCTCTACATTTTTAACAAGTCGTCTTTTTATATTGCTTTATAGAAGATTGGGCCTTGGATTCTACTTTGGATTAGCTTGGATCCAACCACTGTGACCATTTGAAGAGTGAACCAGAAGATGGAAGCTCTCTCTCTCTCTGTACTTGTCTCCGCAAATCTGCCTTTCCAATAAAAATAAACATTTTTTAAAAGTCATTAAAATCTAAAAAGAGCTAACTCAATTCTTATATGTCATTACACAGGGACTGTGAAGAAAATAAGTTCCTTCTTGCTAGAATGAAAACTTGAATTCTTTCAGCAAGAAGGCCAACCCATGATTTCTCGGGTTAATTGCAGGAACTCACTCAATGCCAGAATGAAAACAGCATACCTGAGTAAGGTAGATGGTATCTTTGAATGTGCGTACTGGATCGGTGCTGTTGGGGAGTCTGAAATGAAGTTCAGCTTGCAGAAGCATTTCAGAGTTGCCACCTGAGTGGTGTTGTCGATGACGTGCAAATTTACTAAGATAAGACCAGTCCTCTTTAGACGAGACCTTTCAAACAAGAGTTACAAATAAGAATGTTAGCAGTAAAGCTACTTGTCTCTAAGTCCCTGGAAACTTAGAAAGCACGCTGCACAATGGAAAGGAGCTCAGAGTCTGTTCTTTGGCTCTAACTTTGTAAGTGCTTTGGCTGCCATTATTGTTATCGATGAATATCAAATCACAAAACAAGGATTTGACAATGCCATCATCTCTTACTCAGAAAGTCTTGTCTGGCCCAGTGCAGAGGCTTAGCAGCTAAAGTCCTTGCCTTGAACGTGCCGGGATCCCATGTGGGTACTGGTTCTGGTCCCGGCAGCTCCATTTCCCACCCAGGTACCTGCCTGTGGCCTGGGAAGGTAAGCCTTGAGACCCTGAGCCTGCATGGTAGACCCGGAAGAACTCCTGGTCCCTGGCTTTGGATTGGCACAGCCCTGGCCGTTGCAGTCACTTGGGGAGTGAATCATCAGACAGAGGATCTTCCTCTCTGTGTATCTGCCTATCCAAGCAAAATAAATAAAAAATTTTTAAAAGCCTTGCCTTCTCAAAACATATATATATGTGTGTGTGTGTGTGTGTGTGTGTGCATGTGTGTGTGTTTTAGTTTTATTTGAAAGAAAAGTTACAGAAAGAAGGAGAGTCAGAGAGAAACAGATCTTCCATCTGCTGATTCACTCCCCAAATGGTTACAGTACACAGAGCTGAGCTTATCCGAACCCAGGAGCCCTTTCGGAGTCTTCCCACATGGATTTAGGTGCCCAAGGACTTAAGTCATCCTCTATGCCTTTCCTAGGCTGTAAACAGGGAGCTGGATTGGAAGTGGATCAGCCTGGATACAAACCAATACGCAAATGGGATGCCAGCACCACAAGCAGAAGGTCAGCCCATTATCCCACAATGTTGCGCCCAGGCCTAGCTGCTAGCAGGTTCTGCCAACAGGGAAGAACTCTGCTGAGAGCCTTATGATCCACAAGCAGGAGAAATGCTGAACAGACAATGGTGCAGCCACAGTAATCACAGCATCACAGGAGGTACAGCGTGATACCCCAGCTGCAGAGGCCATGGTAGTGGCACAGCCTGGGAGCCCAGGACGGAAACTCACCGGAGGGAGTAGGCAAGTGGCACAGAGACCCAAGCAATGAACAAATCAGAAAGTCTATCTGGAACCAGTGGATGACATAGCTTAAAAAACAGCCCTAAAGAAATATACTAATTTGAATTGCAATGGACACAGGCAAAGAGGCACAGGCACCATGAAAGAGGTTACTGATGCCTCCCTTGTATAGGATCAAGAGTCTATTTCAATCTTAAAATTAGCTGACCAAGACATCAAGATATTGATGGATACAGAATTTTTAAAAGTCGCTACATAGCTCTTTTAAAACAGTAAGGAGCAAATACACAAGTTCACAAAATATACTACACAGGAAATATCAGTATTGAAACAAAAACTGAAATACTAGAAATGAAAAATACAACAAAAAAATCAATAAAAAGTCTTAATAACAAAAAGAGTGAAGTAGCATTTCAGAGCTAGAGCATATCACACATGAAAATGCTTAAACAGTGAGAAATCCAGGAGAGCAACTAAGTAAAGCTAAGAAAACTATCCAAGAATTAAGTGACACCAGCAAAAGGCCTAATATAAGGATGATAGAAGTTTCTGAATGCATGCAAAGAAAGGCTACATTGAAATATGTATTCGGCAATTCCATGCCAGAGCACGCAGAACGGCTGTGCAGTGGGCGACTGGGGCCTTGGAGATGATGCTGGCAGGGGTGTGGGGCGGGGGTGGGGAGAGCTGGGGGCTCATGCTCAGGCAGCCAGAGCAAGCCTGCACACTTTCCATGTGCTTGGTCACAGGTGGAGTGAGGGGAGGGAAGGAAAGAGCCCTAGCTTAGCATGCTGGCCTGGCGTGCTGGTGGACCAGGCATGGGGTAGCTCCCAGACCAGCACATGTGACAGGAGCTTGAGACACTGCGGGTGGGGCAGAGCTCCAGGGCAGCACATCACTCCTCTGAAAAACCAGGCTTCAGAACATTGGGCTAGGGAACCCATGCACTCCCGGGCGAAAGGACTGTGAATTGTTCAGGGACGAGGACAAGGGGACGCGAGGGAGGGAGGACCACAGAGGGAGTATGTTGCAGATGAGGAATGACTTCTGGAGGATTTCCACTGACAGAGCCACTGTACTTACAAGTAAGCAAGTGGACTGAGACCAAGCAGTTTGGAGGATGGATGCTAGAGTACCTTTATGAGTCAGAACGATGCACCAGCCCACATGCAAGACCTTTGCTAGGCTAGTAAGCATGGATCACCACTGACGACCATTCACCAGTGCACCCTAAAGCTGGGGCTGGGGACTTACCCGGGAGGACTGGATCACAGTAACCACCACTGATTGTCAGAAAAGAGCAACAGCAAAATAATCCCAACATCAACAGAAAAAAAGAAATAATCAAAATAAGGGAGAAAATAAACCACAGAGACCAAAGGAACAATGCATACAATCAAGAGATCAAAGAGCTTGTTCTTTAAGAAAACCAACAAAATAGATACCTCCTATTGCACATCCTGAAAGTCAGCATCAATAGCTCCAGTTGCTAAAAGGTGGACTGAGCCCCTAGCTCTTCCTGCCTTTGGCCCTGACCCAACTGCAGTAGTTGCAGACATTTTGACAGAGAAACACATAAGAGAGATCTCTCAATAGTTCTGTATTTCTCTTTTTCCCTCTCAAATATGTATTTATTTATACATATATATATATGTATATATTATATTATATATATATTATATATATTATATATATTATATATATAATATGTATATATAATAATATATAATAATTATATATAATATATAATATATATATTATATATATACATATTATATATATTATATATATATTATATATAAATACAAACATAAGGAAGTATTCCTTTTGAGGCAAATAGTTTATCTGTTATTAGTTTGATAAAGGTGCCTAATCTCTGGGATTGAGTCATAACAAAATACAAAAAAATATACATTAGCCACATTTTATTTGGAAGTTTTTCCAAATACTGCCTTTTTTCCCCCAAATTGCTACCACTGGAATAATTTAAAGATGATTAATTACTCCCATTATTTATAAGAAGTATTCATATTTCTAATAATCTTGTGCACATTTCAGATGTGCATGCCTTTACCAAAAGTATTATCTATGCTTCTTTTCCAAAAGCCAGAAACACACTTCCGGGCATCTGAGCCATCTGACTGTCACAGACTTGGTTCTATTCCATAATCAGTAAACTTGATCCGCAGTCAAAAGAGAAGTTTTCTACTTTATCTATTGTTCAGAAATCACATAAATTTCAGCTACAGTAATGTTAACCACAAGGAATTGGTATGGACCAGGCAATATTCTTTTAATCATAATGCAATAGTGATCATCGCCAGTTGGGAATACTATTTTAGGCAAAAGTCATGTATCCAAAATTAAAGATATTTAAAATGTTTGCTGAATTCACAAGAAACTTCTAAATTAAAAAGTTAAAGTTTTAAATTATTCTTTTGTGTTTTTTTTATCTTCCCTTTTATTTCCTCAAAAGTTAAAGATATACAAAATCCATAGGTAACATGGAGCATAATAAACAGAACTTGTCTTCAATTATTGTTACTTTAAAATACAGTGCTTAACATCTCTGACCAGCACCAGATATTTCACAATCATGACAACCACATTGTTTCGATGAGGCGATTAGAAACACAGGTTTAGCAAAAAGTTTTAAGTTTCTAATGCCAACTTTTACAAAGCACGATGAAAAACAACTATATGAGTGCTGCATCAGACAACTGTTTGAACCTGTACACATTTCTTCTTACCTAGAGGACACTCCCGGGACTCAAAGTGGAAGGAGTGAATTATCACTTAATAAAAGAACAGGGATCTCAGTTCCCTGCTAATAGCCTTGGAAGAGCAGTAAAGGATGGTCCAAGTGGCTAAGTGCTGTTTTCCACATGGGAGACCTACAAGAAGCCTGGCTTAGCTCCAGCCATTGTGGTCTTCTGGGGGGTGACCCAGTACATGGTTCTTTTTCTCTCTCCCCTTTCCTCCTCCCTCTAACTCTGACTTTCAAACAAATAGAAACATTAAAAATAAGAAGAACAGGGACCTAGGGCAGAGCACCTAGTTGTGTTATGATTCCTCTATTCCTTCTTCCCATTCTCAACAACTGTTCCTTCCCGATTCGGGTTCCTGAGCAGTTCTTACTTTCAAACAGGAATATTCCCAAAGATCGACTTCCCAATGTGGAACAACCAAAAAGGCAGAGGAGGTTAGAAACAGCCACTCCAAAATCCATGTACATTTTCAACATGCTATATATGCTAAATAATTTTATCCACCAAAGAAAATTTTCTAGTTAAAAATTTTCAAGCAAACAGTAGAACGTAAGGCAATGACATTATTTATTGCTAAAACTACAATAGCATGTCAATACATACGCAGATACAGCTGTGTTGGAGTGTTCAAATAGAGGGAGATTCCAAAATTGTCTTAAGGTTAACGGACACAAGTGATAAGAGGAGCAAAAGTCACAAGATCATTACAATAGATAAAGGAAAAGTTTGTCACAAAATCCAACATCCCTGGGCCCGGCAGCGTGGCCTAGCAGCTAAAGTCCTCCCCTTGAATGCACTGGGATCCCATATAGGCTCCGGTTCTAATCCCAGCAGCTCCACGTCCCATCCAGCTCCCTGCCTGTGGCCTGGGAAAGCAGTCGAGGACAGCCCAAAGCTTTGGGACCCTGCACCCGCGTGGGAGACCTGGAAGAGGTTCCTGGTTCCTGGCTTTGGATTGGCACAGCACTGGCCGTTGCGCTCACTTGGGGAGTGAATCATCGGAGGGAAGATCTTCCTCTCTGTCTCTTCTCCTCTCTGTATGTCTGACTTTGTAATAAAAATAAATAAATCTTTTTTAAAAATCCAACATCCTTTCTGATATAAGCACCAGGTAAATTAGGACTAAAAGGGACTGTCCTCAGTCTTAAAAAGGGCGTAAACTAAACCTCATTGTTTACATCAGACTAAAGGGCAAAAGAGGGAAGAACTTCCCCTTCAGAAAAAGTCAAGGATCCAGACATCTTTGTATCCCATCCCTGCTTTTCTCCATCACCCTGCTCATTCTGGTCAGGACAATTAAGGAGGAAAATAAAAGAAGAGGCATCCAGATTGGAAAAACAAAATGTAACATTAGTTCTATTTTCAGGTGAAATGGCATTACATAGAAACAACCCTAAGTAATCCACTTAATGCACTATTACAGCTGACCAATGTGTTCAGTCACTTTACAAACTACAAGCTCAATATATATCCTTACACATTAACACAGAGCAATCTAAAAATGAAATTGAGAAAATAGGGCTCAGTGCGTTAGCCTAGAGGCTAAAGTCCTCGCCTTGAACACACCAGGATCTCATATGGGTGCTGGTTCATGTCCCAATTGTTCTACATACCATCCAGCTCCCCGCTTGTGGCCAGGGACATCAGTAGAGGATGGCCTAAAGTCTTGGGACTCTGCACCCATGTGGGAGACGCACAAGAAGCTCCTGGCTCCTAGCTTCAGATTGGCGCAGATCCGGCTGTTGCATTCACTTGGGGAGTGAATCATTGGATGGAAGATCTTTCTCTCTGTCTCTCCTCCACTCTGTGTATCTGACTTTGCAATAAAAATAAATATTTTTTTCAAAAGAAATTAAGGGCCCGGTGCGGTGGCGCAAATGGTTAAGGTCCTCCCCTTGCACACCCGGGATCCCATATGGGCGCCAGTTCTATCCTGGCAGCCCCGCTTCCCTTCCAGCTCCCTGCCTGTGGCCCAGGAAAGCAGTCGAGGACGGCCCAAAGCTTTGGGACCCTGCACCCACATGGGAGACCCGGAAGAGGGTCCTGGCTTCAGATCGGCATAGCATCGGCCATTGCGCTCACTTGGGGAGTGAATCATCGGTTGGAAGATCTTCCTCTCTGTCTCTCCTCTCTGTATATCCGCCTTTCCAATAGAAAAATAATAAAAATAAATCTTTTTTAAAAAATTAATAAAAAGAAATTAAAAAATATTTTCACTTACTAAAACAACAAAAACAAAACCTTTGGATCAAGTTATCCAAAAAAGTACAAGAACTGCACACTGAAAACTGCAAAACAAGGTTGAAAAAAGTTAGAGGGAACCAGTGCTGTGGCTCAGTGAATGAAGCCACCACCTGTGACACTGGCATCCCATTTGAACGCCGGTTTGAATCTCAGCTGCTACACTTGTGACCTACCTCCAACTATGCCCCCGGAAAAGCAGCAAATAATGGCCCATGTACTTGGATCCCTGCCACCTGTGTGGAAAACCACGATGATAAAATCCTGGCTCTTGAATTCAGCTTGGCCTAGCATGCAGTCATTTGAGGAATGAACCAGTGACTAGAAGACCAATGTGTGTGTGTGTGTGTGTGCACATGTGTGCTCATGTGTGTGTGTTTTCCTTTCAAATAAATAAATCTTTTTCATAAATCAAAGCAGACATCCTATGATAATGGGTCAGAAGACATAACATTCTCAAAATGGCAATATCAACATACTTCTTTGGAGAAATTAGCAAGCTTATACTAAAACTCATTTGGAAATTCAAGGCACCCAAAATAGTTTAAATAATCCTTAAAAGAAAAATAATTACAATTATACTTCCAGATTTTTAAGCTAACTACATAGCTACAGTAATCAAGACAGTGCATAATGAAGTGCCACTGCAACAGAAGTTAGAATTTAGAAACAAACCTACTTTTATGGCCAATTTATTTTCAGAGGTAGGAACATTCAGTGGAGCAAAGAACAGTGTTTTCAATGATCTGATGTTGGGAAACTGACTATCAAAACACACAAAAATAAAACTGACTCTGAGCTAACACTGTACAGAAAACAACACAAAATGAACCATAGACTAAGATTTAAGAGCTAAAACTATTAAATTCTTAGAAGATAATGTGAGATAAATCTGTCATGTGAGGGTTGGCAATGATTTCTTAGATAAAATACCAAAAACGTAAAAGATAAGAGGTGCTTAATAAGTAGGGCTTCATCAGATACCTGAAACGTGCTTTAAATGACACCATCAAGAAAAATCACACCCCAATGATTGGAAGAAAATATAAGATAATCATACAAGCTGATAAAATATGTATATTTAGGATCTATAAAAAGCTCTTACAATTCAACAATAGAAGACAAATAGTTATACATGGACAAAGAATTTGAAGACATTTCCCAAAGAAAAACAAATGGACAATAAGCACAGGAATATGTGGTCAAGATGATTAGCCATGAAGGAAATTCAATTTCCTCTAAGATTCTAGAGAAACGTGTCAAAAAATAAAACACCAAGTGTTGGCAATGGGAAGAAACTGGCCCCATCATATGTTGGCAGCAGTAATGTAAACCTGTGTGATCATATAGAAAACAACTTCAACTGTACCCCAGAATATTAGACACAGAGCTACCACAGGATACAGAAATTTCACTCCTCAGCTGTATTTACCAGAATAAAACCATATGCCCTCACATAAACATAAGCTTCATGCACAATAACCAAAAGTACCAATATCTACTAATGGATATACGGAAAAACAAAAGATAATATGCATATATCACGGGCTATTACTCGGCAGTAAAAAGTTTTATCAATACATGGAAAAACATGGACGAACCTTAAGATCAAGCTTAGTCAAAGAAGCCTGTCTCCAAAGATCACAGACTGTGTGGCCCAAGTGTAAGAAATGTCCAAGATAGGCAAAGCTATTGACACAGGCAGTAGATTAGCAGCGCCTAGGACTTTGAGTGATGGAAATGCTGTAACATGAGATGGTGGTAATGAGTGAACAATCCTGTGAGTATGCTCAACCGCTGAATTTACATATTGAATGCGTGCACTGTATTGTAAGAGATCCCAATGCACCTGTTAGAAAAAGAATACATCAGTCTGCAATTGAGGCTTTGGAGACACACCCAGTACACATCCATACAGGAAATCAAGTATAGCAGCAGGAGAAAGGTGGAGGAGCAACAGAAGGAGGGGAAAGATAGCATTAGACAAAGCTTTACTTAGCATACTCAGATTTCTTACTGCAGTGAAAGATCCAGTTCTAAATATCTGTCAACTATAAATGTTGTTATAGGGTGTACAGAAAGTATCAAATAAGGATATTTTTGTGTGTGATTCTATGTTATGTTGAACCAACCACAGACTCTCCTTTAACTGGCAAATATTCCTTAAGAGATATAATTAAAAAGCAATGTAGAAAAGTTCTAATGCCCAAAACAATGAATCTAAGAATTTAACCCCTCAAAGATTACATTTTAAGATTCTCTTCATTCATCTTCGTCCCAAACTTTCAGTTAAATAAGACACAGACTTAATTTGGTTTTTGGATCTATAGTTCAGAAATAACATGAACCCATAGTATAACATTCTGAATCACTGGCAAATCTGAGACTGCTTACCTTTTGTAAGGTGCTGAAGGAAGGCCAGGACTGGTATCCATACTCAGACACAAATCGAGCTTTTGGGAAAACCTGCCAGTTCCAGCAATCACTGATATAGTCATAAAAATGCACATCACCAAATTGCTGGCTATAGGGGTTCTCAGAGAGCCATCCTTCTGCAACGGTTCTGGCCCCATTTGAAGGACTGGAAACAATATATGGACGACTCTTGTCTCCCTGATGTCAGAAATAAAATTATTTTAGAGATAATATTTTCAGTCAATAAAGTGCCAATCATTTGCTTCTTTTAATATACCACCAAGTCCTCACAAGGTCAAATGCCTTATATAACATCAATGTGATCATGTACTTCATTCTCCATTCATTCATGACCTCTCGGCTCTTCATCAGTCCTTCATGCTCTTTAGTTAACACTTGGCTCACCTCCTCGCAGCAGCTGTTTCTGAGATTTTGCTCACCTTTGCCTCCATACTCATCCATCACAGGCAGTGAGTGCAGCACCCAAGGCAGTGTTTCTCAATGCTGGCCCTACTATCATTTTTGGTGGGGGCTGAGGGAGGGTCTTTCGCATTGTAGCTTATTCAGCAGCATTCCTAGCCTCTACCCACATGCTGTCTTCCATGCCTCAGGGTCTCTAGAGGCAAAATCACCTCTACTACAGAACCCCTAGTGGAGCACAGATGCCACTGAATCAAGCCGAACTTGAATTAAATATTCAAATTGAAAACCTTACTATTTCTGTCCAGGCCCAAGTCATCTCATGGGCAGAAGTGGCGGAGTGTCCCCCACCATTTACATCCACCTCATTCCTATAATAGAGTCATCCCCAGGAAGCAGCTTCTTGGCCTTCATTATCATCCTCTTTCTCCATTTGCAGGTGAGGGCCCAGAGACGATGCTAAGAGCCCCTGTCTTAACAAGGAGAGCTGCCATATCACAGTGCTGCTAGCACACTATTTGTAACATGGTTCCTAGTGCAAAGGCAGAAATCAAGCCCTTACACTCATCATCTCAATACATCACTACTTCTTTCACTGAGATGATTCGTTACTGCATCTGTGTCAAATGTTTATGTGTCTCAGTTTTTTTTTTTTTCATAACTGCAAAGAGAAATGAGAAGGACAGGGAGAATGCATGTCTATGAATTCATCAAATATTCAAGTATGGAATCCCTTTGGCATTTGCAATGAGCAGGCTGCAGTCCCTTCTGTGTCCTGGAGGTTCACAAAGGGGCAGATACGGAGACTGTCCTCTTACAAGAGTAGATGGCAAATCAGTAGGGAAATCAAGACCTGGGCAAGAAGTGTTACATGTGATGAAGAAGTACGGGGCTCTTTGGGAAAAAGAAAACTTACTGTAGAAGGCCAGTAAGGCTTCTCTGAGAAATACACATTCAAAAAATACTTTCAACAACTTTTTCCCACGTCTTTCATTCTGTCCTACAGAAGAACATGTTTCCGTGTTTCTTTCTTCTGACAGTAGATTGTAAGTTCCCCAAGGATAAAAGTCTCTCCAAAACATTAGGAGTAAGGATGTCCTGGCAAAGGGTATTCAATAGAAATCTGCTAACTTAATTATTTTACAAAATGATGAGATCATAGGTAAGCTTACATTTTAAAAAGTTACAATGGCTTTGATCAAAAAAAAATTATCAAGCTCTGTCTGTCTTCTTCTATTTTCATAGATTCCTGAACAACTGGACAAAATGCACAATCTGTTAGTATTACTAATCTGTAAAAAGATCACTGATGGGTGCAACATTATGGGTGATTGATTAAATCCTCACCTTGCATCTGCCAGAATCCCATATGGGCACTGGTTCATATCCTGCCTGCTCCACTTCCCATCCAGCTCCTTGCTTGTGGCCTGGGAAAGCAGTGGAGGGTATCCCAAGTCCTTGGGACCCCACACCCACATGGGAGACCTGGAAGAAGCTCCTGACTTCAAATCAGCTCAGCTCTGACTGCTGTGGCCACTTGGGGAGTGACACAGTGGACAGAAGATCTTCCTCAGTGTTTTTCTCTCTAAATCTGCCTTTCAATAAAAAATAGCTTTAAAAATCACTGATAAGTTCATGCCTAAAACATCCTCCCTTGATGATACATTACAGTCATCTTCCATTTATGTCTCATTCACTCTTGAGGCTCGATTCCTGTTTTTCATCTCACAGATGACCTTTCCTATATCATGTCTTTAAATGCTCATTTGAACCAAGAGATTCCATTATACGAAAACAAAGTATGAAGTGCAATAGGGAATTAATCATTATAGTGAGCATGTAGGTGGACTGGTTTATACCTTCCTTTAATTTCCTTATGCATTGATAGAAATCATAAATTTTAGATAGTATTTAATATTGTCCATCTTCAAAGAAGTTTTCAAGCACCAATTTCTAATCACAGTTCATTTTAAGGTAAAGAGGTACCTTGTGAGAAAGGCATCATGTTTCCTCTTGGGGAATGGAGACAATGGCACAGAGAAGATAACTTTTTAAAGTTTCCAGTGTTAAAATTAGAGATGAAAATGTGTATGTATCTGCCAAGGTCTCTAGGTTAGATGAAATGTACAAGGATGAGGAAGCTGGACAGGGTTAAAGGTCAGAGTCCATGTCACGTGGCTTCACACATTATCTCACTAGTCCACCTAATAATTCCTAAAACGCAGCCCCTATTTTTAAGCCAAACTTATAAATGGAAAACAAGAAGTAATTTACCCAAGATTAGACAGAGGGCAGTTTCTCAGCCAGGATTACTGTTTAATCACATGCTATGTGATGAAAACTCTCAACTAGTTATATCAATTTCTTAAATCCATCATAAATAAAAATAAAAACAACAGGAATGTTGTGTGTAAAATAAGAAAAATAAGTGCTTTACAAATATTAAAGCTCATATGTCACATTCTGTGAGTAGAACATCCATCGTGTCTTGGGCTTCGTGGCACAGCAGTGTTGGAGAAGCAGTTCAAGAACACTACTCCTCTTCAACTCAGCTTGCTGCTCATGTGCCTGGGAGGCACTGGAGGATGGGCGGGGTACTCTGGCCCTGCCACCTACATGGTAGACAGACCTGGAAGGAGCTCCTGGTTCCTGACTCTCGCCTCGCCCAACTCTGTTCTATTGCAGCCATTTGGAAAGACAACCAGCAGACAGTAGATTCTCGTTCTCTCTCTCATTCTCTGTCTCTCGTTCTCTCTCCCACTCTCTCTCCACCACCATCTCCCCTTACTCTGTCATCTTGCCTTTCAACATCAATCATCAATAAATTTTTAGAAACACACACCGTTTATGATTGCCCAAACAAAGGAGCAAAAAAATAAACTATGCTAACTCAAATTTACTAACTTTAAAGACAAATCCTCCAATTCTACTGCTATAAAAGTCAATACTCGGGCCCGGCGCAGTGGCGCAGTGGTTAAGGTCCTCGCCTTGCACACCCGGGATCCCATATGGGCGCCGGTTCTAATCCCGGCAGCCCCGCTTCCCATCCAGCTCCCTGCCTGTGGCCCGGGAAAGCAGTCGAGGACGGCCCAAAGCTTTGGGACCCTGCACCCGCGTGGGAGACCCGAAAGAGTCTCCTGGCTTTGGATCGGCATAGCATCGGCCGCTGTGCTTACTTAGGGAGTGAATCATCGGATGGAAGATCTTCCTCTCTGTCTCTCCTCTCTGTATATCTGCCTTTCCAATAAAAACATAATAAAAATAATTCTTTAAAAAAAAAAGTCAATACTCACTGAGAAGACAATTTCTCTCATGTTTTTCACATAAAGAGTCACATAGTCATTCATGTAGGTTTCCAGCTTACTGGGTTCTATGGAATACCAATTCATCATCAGTGCTGCTTCATTTTCATTATTGCCACTCCATATGATGACGGATGGATGAGATTTGAGTCTCCTGACCTGACATTCGAGAAAACATAATTTCCAAAGTTAACATAAAAAATTGAAAGCTATAATTACTAACAACCATTGCATTTCTGCACATAAATTCTTTCATGTCCGAAAACTCACAAGAAAATGACTAATTATGGAACATGGTTTAAGAAAACTGTGAGCTCCTTTTTATCTGAACATCAGTTTCCTAAACATGAATTAGATAAAGTTCCTCTTCTAGCTTCTGTGCAAAAATGAAGAAAATACAATCAAGTTCATTATCGTCTGAATTGCCAGAGGAGTGTTCTTAGGAATAGAAAAGATGGAAGACAGCTCATTACAAGGTTAGTTGTCAGAAGCAAGCTGAAGTCTTGGAGGAAGAAACAAATGGGGCACAGTGACTCCTATGCAGTCTCCATCAAGGTCAAAAACTAGAAGGAAAAGAACAGAAGACTATACAAAGCAGATGAGACTTAGACATGCTCCCGAAGTACAAGCATATGGAATCTCTGAAAAACAGATTCAGATCACGGAGAACACAGCTCCTGAAATAAATGTAACGGCATGCCTGAGAAATCACCTAAACTCAACTACAGAAGGGGAGGTTACAGAATTTTTATGGAAACTCGGACAACCTTAAGACACGAGCCACAGATTAGGCTTGCCTGGGCTAGCCCTGCATAAGGGCAAAAGGACTCAGCTCTGCTGTTATCTTGGGTGATTCAACCATGTTCCTTTCTTCTACCACACTGGGACAAGAGCCCTGAGAGAGTCAGGCTTGAAAATGATGGAAGATGGCAGAGTGAGTCAACGATCCAGAGAAACTGGTTTGGAGCACGTGTTGGTAGTATCCGCTTTTACTGTAATGGCCGGTCACAGTGACAAAGGCCACTGAATCTGTGTTCAAAAAGTGGAGAAACACATAAAACAGAGATGCTTTAAGGATATTGAAGACACACTTCACTTCTAAAATTAAAGTGAAGAAAGTGAGGAATGCTACCAACTATGATTGGTAGGTTTGATGATGATGATGAAAGTGCAAATAGCAGTCCTAAAGGGAAAAAAGTTTCAATAATTCTTCAGGTTAATGTAGAATTTTACAGTATTGGGCCAGGCATGGTACCCTAGTGGCTTACGTCCTTGCTTTGCATAAGCTGGGATCCCATATGGGCACCGGTCCTAATCGCAGCAGCTCCGTGTCGCACCCAGCTCCCTGCTTGTGGCCTGAGAAAGCAGTCGAGGATGGCCCAAAGCCTTGGGACCCTGCACCCGTGTGGGGGACCTGGAAGAAACACCTGGCTCCCAGCTTTGGATTGGCTCAGCTCCAGTCATTGCAGCCCTTTGTGCAGTGAACTGGTGGACAGAAGCTCGCTCTCTCTCTCTTTTACCCTCTCACCTTCCCTCCTCCTCTCTGTAAATCTGCCTTTCCAATAAAAATATTTTTAAAAAAGAAAAATGAATGTCATAGGTTTTCTGATTTGTGCTAGCTAATATACAGAGAATTCAAAAACTAAAATGCATAAGTGAAGTTAACATCATATGGTTTAATTATTGTTTACAGCTCTTGTCTATATATTCTATGGAACAATGATCTTTCTGCTTTTTACTTGTTAAACACTATCTGTAGTGGAACATCAGCCTGTGATTATAAAGTAAATGGAAAGCATGATATTGCAAAAAAAAAAATCCTTTGAAGGAAAAGGAGAGACTGAGGAAGAGTGGATTATCACTAAGGATTATTTGCTTGAAATACCTGAAACCTGTTCTCTTTGTGTTAAATTTTTTAAATTCCCTCTTCTTTCCCTCCAAGGAAAATAAAGTAAAAAAAAAAAAAATAAGATCCTCCAAAATCTATTCCTACCCCAGACATTGAATCGGACATTTTTCTGACAAGTCTCTAAATGGAAGATAGTATCTGTGTACGAATGCCCAGTGTCTCCAGGTCAGCCGTCACTTCCAGCCCTTTTCACTGGACAGAGACAGGAAAACAAGTGTGTATGTGTGTGCACGCAATGGAAAAGCAAACAATGAGACCAGAAACATTTTAAACATCTGTCCTGAGCAATCCAAAGAGTGGCGCTGCCGTAGGCTGAGACCAGCAAAGCTGCAGGTGGAACCCATTTGGTGGGGACTGACACAAGTCTGGTTTGGACATGAAAAGCTTGGAAAGTTCTACTGAGCCTCCCAGCAGGGGCACCAATGGACCACTGAATACAAGAATAAACAATTCATCCAAGAACTTACATATCAGGGAGTCATCAATAAATACATGATGTTAAAACTGACACTGGTTGAAATCATTCACGGAGGCAAATGACTGGACTGCAAAATTTTTCTTGGGGTTTATCGGAGAACAACAACAAAATGAGATGAGATTCCATAGAAGGCAGAACTGAAAGGAAGACTCCTCTAAGAATTTCAACAACATACCTGGTAGGCAACTTCTGCTCTCACTAAGTCCAGGAAGCCCTGATTAGTGGGATAAAGGGCACAGGCAAACATGAAATCCTGCCATATCTGTCAAATCAAACACATCAAAGCAGTTCATAAGTTTTATTACATAGAAAAGATGTGTTCATTGTGACTTTTATGGATTATCTTTCCCCCAAATGAAAAAAAGAACACCTTTACCGTTATGCATAAAGAAATGGACAAAAGGCACTACAGAACTCCAGACTTTCCTGACCTGCACAAAAGTTACAAAGCCCATGAAGAGACCACATTTAATAGGTAGGAAGGAAGGGGGAGGGGACAGGCATTTGGCATAGTAATTAGGATCCCGCTTGTGTAGCAACTGGGTAGCAGTTAAGATGCACCTTGGAACAACTGCATCCCATATTAGCATCTTGGGTCCTTGCTCCACTCCCAGGTCCCACTTCCTGCTAAAGTGCACCCTGGGAGGCAGTGGCTTAGGCTTAGGCAGTGGCAATGGCTAGGCAGCTGGGTCTCTGCCACTCAGGTAGAAGAACAGAATGGAGTTCCGGACTCCTGGTTTCAGCTTGGCCCAACCCCAGTTGAAGTGGTCATTTGCAGAATAAATCAGCAAATGGGAGCTCTGTCTCTACATTTCAAATATGTAATATAATAAGATTTTTTTTTAAAAGTAAAGGAGGGCGTGGTGCATTGGCTCAATGGCTGAATCCTTACCTTGCAAGTGCTGGGATCCAAGTGGGTGGTACTTTGTGGCCCAGCTGCTCCATTTCCCATCCAGCTTCCCGTTTATGGCCTGGGAAAGCAGAAGATGGCCCAAAGCCTTGGGACCCTGCACACACGGGAGACCTGGGGGAAGCTCCTGGCTCCTGGCTACATTCCTGCTAATGTGTATCCTGAGAGGGGAGAGCCAGTCTGAGTTCCCATCTCCTGTCCTGGAGCTAGCCCAGCTCCAGCTGTTGTGTGTACTTGAGGAGTGAACCAGCAAATTGAAGATCTCTCTCTCCCCCTCTGTCTCTCTCACCCTTTCTCCATCTCTGTATCTTTCCTCATATCTTTGCTTTTAAAATAAGTAAAATCACATGAAAATATTTTTAAAAAGCAAATAGTCAATGTGCTAAAGGAAATGAAAAGACAGTTCCCTCAGTCCCTCCTTATTTCTATTTATTCTAATTTTTACCAGGTATTCAATAGCACACAGTTAAGAATCACACTTGATTTATAAAAGAAGCAACAGTAAAGCAAAAGGATCGATGCATGCATATTTTAGTAAATGAGCCCATGTAACTCCCGTCCTGGATAGGCTGCACTGCAGTGATTTACAGCAAGTCCCAAAACAACAATGCCAGAGTGAGACTGACCGACTCACTCCCTCACTCACTCTACCTATCTATCTATCTTTCTACCTACCTACTTACCAACCCATCTATATTGAAAAAAACACAAACAGAAAGATCTTCCATCCACTGAATTATGCCCCACATGCCTGGATCAGTAAGGACTGGGCAAGGCCTGAGCCCAGAGCCTGGAACTCAATCTGAGACTCCTATGTGGGTGGTAAGGATCTTATCACCTAAGGGTGTGTCACCTGCTGTCTCCTAGGTGCACATTAGCAGGAAGCTGGATCAGAAATGGAGCTGAAATTTGAGCCCAGACACTCTAACTACTGCACCAAACACCTATACCTTGTGTGGGACTCTTGAATCCACCACTTATAGGCTCTGTGTGCAATGCCGAAGTATTTAACCTCCCTGTGTGCCAGCTGTCTTATATGTAACCAAAGATAGAGGACAATAGAAACTACTTCACTCTTTGAGCACCAAAGTAAAATAATATATGTAGACCACTTAGAGCCTTGTCTGACCCTGCATGAATATTGGAACGTATCATCTGTATTATGATAACCATGAGCCTTATTGTCATTTCCATAATTCCTTTCTGTGGCGTGCTACCACATATCTCGCAGTAATAATAAGAAACATAAAGGGATATATTTCTGATGGATTTCTTTTACTTAATTCCCAGTACTGTAAAACACGTTCAAAGTATCTAATAACAATATTAACCATACTTTTTTTCCAATTAATTGTATTGATTTTCTTAGGTTTTGTTACAGCTCCTTAATGTTAAGCCTTTTAAATATTGTATTTTACTTGTAGTGTGTGCCTTTATACCATTATCACAAAGAGAACTCCAAGACAGTATAAATATGGGAGTATACTTAGATATAACTCATAGAGAATGCTGATCAGCTAAAATTAATAAGTACTCTTGTGTTCTCTATCAAGTATCATTCTGGATTAATACAATGTCATTTTCCACTTTGGCATAAAATGGAACAACACTCGTGACTCAGAGAGGAAGCATCACCCGCTCAGATACTGACGGTCAAACTGAGGGTACGATAATGACTTGCCCATAGAGAGAATGGCTGCCAGAGACTCACCATTATTCCCAGTTCATCACAGAGTTCATAGAATTCATCCTGCTCATAAACCCCTCCTCCCCAAACACGAAGAGTATTCATGTTTGCATCCACAACAGACTGCAAAAGGAGTCGTAACCTGTAGAAGAAATTTTAAAACAATTGCTAATCTGGACATTTTGGAAGATGATGTGAAAGATTTAGAAAACAATGTGAGGAGCAGTTCCCAGCCAATGTTCCTGGGAAAGCAGGAGAAGATGGACCAAGCATTTGGGTCCTTCACCCATGTTTGAGACCCAGAGTTTTGGGCTGCTGGCTTTAGCCTGGTTCAGCCCCAGCCTGTGCGGCCATTTGGTGAGTAAACCAGAGAACTTTCTGTCTCTTCCTATCTGTTTAACTCTATCTTTCAAATAAATAAATCAATCTTTAAAAACAAGCAAACAAACAAAAAACATATTGTGGGGGCTGATGCTGTGACACATAAGGTTAATCTTGTACCCTGTTCCACTTCTCATCCAGCTTCCTGTTTGTGACCTGGGAAAACAGCCCAAAGCCTTGGAACCCTGCACCCACATGATAGACCGAGAAGGTCCTGGCTCCAGACTCAGATCAGCTCAGATCTGGCCACTGCAGCCACGTGGGGAGGGAACCAGGGTTTGGAAGACCTCTCTGTCTCTCCTCTCTGTGGCCAGCTTCCTAAGCAGCCCTGCAGAGTCCAAAAGCACAGGCAGGGCAGGAGTAGCACTGGAGAAGTGAAAGAACAACCATCCCTTCTGTATCTGGAGGAGAATCTCACTTCTCATGAAACCTAAAATGTAACTTGGAGTGCTAGCTAAAGCAATAAATTAGGCAAAAACCCGTTTCTTTGCATGTGGCAGCTTGTTTTCATCATAACAATGGTAGCGAATATACCCAATTAAGAAAACAGAAGGTTCTCTTGAAGTTTTATACTCAAAACCTTCGAAGGATAAGTTTTTCTAGCACTACTTTTTAAGAATTTTCTGTCTTTATTTTTTGAACATTTGTAAGATACACAATATGATATTATGGGCCGTAGATAGACACTAAAATGGTTTTGATGCAAATTAACCTGCCCATCACCTCCCATCATTATCTCCATTTGTTTGGTTTATTTATCTATTTTTTTTTATTTTTATTGGAAAATCAGATATACAAAGAGGAGGAGAGACAGAAAGATCTTCGATCCAATGATTCACTCAAGTGAGTGCAACGGCCGGTGCTATGCCGATCCGAAGCCAGGAGCCAGGAACTACTTCTGGGTCTCCCACGCGGCTGCAGAGTCCCAAGGCTTTGTGCTGTCCTTGACTGCTTTCCCACGCCACAAGCAGGGAGCTGGATGGGAAGTGGAGCTGCCAGGATTAGAACCAGCGCCCATATGAGATCCTGGCGCATTCAAGGCGAGGACTTTAGCAGCTAGGCCTCGCCACCGGGCCCCATTTGTTTGGTTTATATAACAAGAGCAAACAAAACCAACTCATTTAGCAGGAATCCCAGCTGCAGTACAGACGAGTGCTCTGTAGCTATCATGGAGCCCGTGAGCTCTCTAGACTTGCTCATCTATAATATCTCCTACTTTGTATTGGTTCAGCTCCATCTCATCATGTCCGCCAGGCCACCTAACATCTTCTTCAGTTCTATTGTTAATGAAAAAGCACAATAAAATGTAAATATGTCAAATAAAAAATCAGCATGGGTTCCCATTTTCTGGAACCATACTCAAAAATATTTAAACTATCTTCAAAAAAAAAACCTGAAAAGTGCCAAATTTAATAATTTTTCCCTAGGAACAATTTAGGCAAAATTGAATGCAGCATTTTCATATTCCTCCAGAGTAAACAAATAACAGCTTTCTAAAAATTGGATGACTTCCAAGGCCAGAGTTAAGCCTGACAGTTGAGACACTCAAAGCCACATGGAGTGCCTACATTTGAAACCTGCCTCTGGCTCCTAACTACAGTTTCTTCTTGATGCAGAGAGTGGAAGCCAGGACTGACAGCTTGAGGACTCCGGCTCTGTCACCAGTTGAGAAGCCTAGACTGAGTGCCCAGCCTAAGCCTCAACCCAACCTGGCAGTCAAGAGCACTTGTGCAGTGAGCCAACAAATAGTCAGAGAGGAGCATGCTCTCTCCCTTTTCCCCCTGACTCCCTGGGTGCCTCTCAAATAATTTAACAAACTTTCTAAGGGATGGATTCACCAGCCTCAGTCAGGGTGGACTGGAAAACACAAGTATGTTCAAAGAATCTTGTCCATTCTAAACTTTCCATCATCCTGAAATCATACACTGCCTCTCAGTTCCTTGCAATGAAAGAAAGTGAGAAGTAATTACTATTTAACACTGTATGGCTGTTCATTTCACACACACACGAAAAAAGGTAATGACTTACATATCAGAAGTTACTCGATCCTGGAATGAATCTGCTGGAATCCAGTTTGAGCCTTTCAGAAATATAGGAACTCCATTAATTTTGAAGTAGAAACTCAAGCCAGGAGATCCTTTTATGGGTTCTTCTACAAGTTCCACCGTCCTAAAGTAAACCTGTGATTAACAGAATTAAATACTAACATCAAGTGGGAAACATAAGGAAAATTAAAATTTTGAAAACAAATTGTGTTTTTTGAAACTAACACACAGAGCTTAATATTTTCACAATTTTTTAGGAAGCACTTCATTGTGAAAATGCAGAGTTAGGAAAAAGTTACATAAAAGATATTTGGAGTTTGTTACTTAACTTTTAAAGGAAAAATATAGAAACCACAAAGTAAGTAATATTCTAGTCTTTCGCCTGAAATAGACATTTGCAATTACATCATCCAAATAAACAAGCTCATTTGAAGATAGCATTTCAGAATTAACACAGAAACTGAAGCTATTTCACAAAAACAGAAAAAAAATCATCTGTTAAATTGCTAGGTGCTTGATTTCAAAACCCATTCTCATAAATGGTGTTTATATTTAAGTGTTAAAGTGTGCCTCCCAAAACCAAAGACATATGGCAAAACATATTCCATCATTTAGCAACTTTCCAATCATCATAGCACATTACTATAAAACTGCTTTATTTAATGGACCTTTTAAGCTGAACAAGCTATCACATTAAACCCAACGTTTCCAAGAGTCTGTTCTTCTGACTGGAAGGGGCCATGCTGCATTAACAGGAAGGAGAGGGGCCGCACACACCCAGATGTCACCAGCCACCAGAGAGGAAGCTGAGCCATCATCCCTAACATGGCCTAGCCAGTTTTTTCCAGAATTATACATGAGATGTTAGATCCTCCATAGACAGGCTCTGCCCTTCTGATCAAAATCCCGTTTTGCCAGCAATAAACTGGATCAAAGAATGAATGACCTGTAGAGATTATCCTTGAACCAGAATTATACACTTCAATTAGAAAATAAAACCTACCTTCAAGAAAGTGAGCTGCAACCCTATATTTATAGCAGCACAATACACAATAGCAAAGACACAGAATCAACTTGGATGTTAGTCAACAGAAGAATGGACATGGAAACTGGGGTACATTTACTTTATAGAATACTAGTTAGTCATAAAAAGGGATTAAATCTTGCCATTCGCAACAAAATGGTCCCAGCTGGAAACCATTATCCTTAGTGAAGTAAGCCAGTCCCCAAAAGACAGATATTGTGTTCTCTCTGATCTAAGGCAATGAATACACAAGTACAATATATATTATGCATGCAAATATATATTAATATGCATGAAATGTATAAGGGAGACTTCTCAATAGAAGATACTATGAAATTTACATCTCTACTACTGCATAAAGGTAAGACTCCCAGTGAAACTTGTAAATATACCTCTAAAATATGCACCTAAGTTTGCTACCTTTGCCTGTAATTTTCATGTCATGATACATTTCAATGTTAGAAAGTCAAACTTGCAGTTTGTACTAAGGGACTATATTATTGTGATAATACAAGGAAAAAAATAGGAAGGGAAATGGGGAGGGGAAGGGATGAATCTTTATACCTACAAAAATGCAGTGTGGAAAACAATTTTTTAAAAGTTTAAAGAAATTCTCATTACCCCTCTCCCCCACCCCCGGAACAACTAAAATTTCATTCATTTTGCTTGACAGGGCGAATGGCACTGAGGTGGGTAACACGTCACAGACATCACAGTGTACAGAGCAGAGCGACTACCCACAAGCAGAGGATCTACCAAACTTCACTCCGAAGACATACTGCACATGTTAGTTTCAGCTCAGGAGCCCACCACACACCTTTCTCCAGCATGCCTGCATGCGCCGCGCAACTCTGCAACATGAGTGCTTAGCCTAGCAACTGAAGACGCCAATCACAAAAGATGTCAGGATTAACTTCACAAAGAGACACCGAAATACAGCCTGGAGGGAGATGAACAGGACATGGCAGCGTGGGCACTTTCAGAGGCCACTTCCAAACCACTTTGAGGGTGGGTTCCAACTTACAGAGCATGGGTTCTTTACGTGTGACCCAGGGATGCTAGAGAATTGTGGGTACCGTTCAGGGTTCCTGGAATCAAATGACTGTGGAATTAAGGCTAAAATGTTCTTTGCCTTTCTCCCTCCCACTCGCTTGAGTGCTGGTAGAATCTTCCAGAGGCCACATGATGAGTAATGAAATCATGACAGGCAGAAACATGAAGTGTGCTGCTGGATTCTAGTTTGCTCTGCTTCTAAGACTTTCAGAAAAAAATGGCTTTTCAGAGATTAATTCTGTTCTCCATTCTCTAACTCTGCTATTTTAAGCTGCCTTTGCTATTCCCTCTTTAATCTCTATACATAATTACTGTTGAATAAATTCTTATTTTGATCACCATACTTTCCTTGCAACCTATACATAAGCACAAAATGACTAGAAATTGCTTGTTACTTTGATACTAATACTTTTAACTCATCCTAGAATCTCCTACAATACAAATACAATACAAATGTATTCTTCCCTAATTTAATGATTGCAGGATTTATATCATCAACATATGCACTTTTAGCAGCTAGAAATGCTGAGAACATGAAATGCAAGTTGCAAGTCTGACGAAACATGGAAGGATGTACTCCAAAGAAACCAGGTAAGGCAATACACAAGACATGAAATTATGACAAAAGCCACATTTTCTTCAGCTTCTCTAATTAATGATGTAATTTAGGATGCCTTATACAATAGAATATGTTAGAATACTATTTATGGCTCCATATATGTTGTAGGGTCACTTGCAGACAAATCATCCCCAGTACAGAGGAGGGAATTTTTGATTTAAATTTAGGCATGATAAGCTCTTTAAAAGCCAAACTTTGTTCATCACACATCATTTTTTTAAAGATTTATTTTATTTATATTTAGAGAGGAGAGACAGAGGAAGATCTTCCATCCAATGATTCACTCCCCAAGTGACCAAAATCAATGGAGCTGCACTGATCTGAAGCTGGGAGCCCAGAGCCCCTCTGGGTCTCCTATGTGGGTGCAGGGTCTCAAGGCTTTGGGCTGTCCTCGACTGCTTTCATAGGCCACAAGCAGGGAGCTGGATGGACAGAATTAGAACCGGTGCCCATATGGAATCCCGGCATATGCAAACTGAGGACTTTAGCCACTAGGCTACCCCTCCAGGCCCTCTAAGTTTAAGAAACTATCCCTGGGGCAGGCATTGTGGTGTAACAGCATAAGCTACCACATGTAGCTCATCCGGATGCCAGTTCCAGTCCTAACTGTTCCACTTCTGTACAGCTCCCTACTAACGCACCAGGAAAAGCAGTGGAAGATGGTTCAAGTGTCAGGCCCCTGCTACCCATGCCCATGTGGGAGACCCAAACGGAGCTCCAGACTTCTAGCCTGTCCGGCCTCTTGGAGGGTAAACCAGTGGATGGAAAGTCCCCATCTCTCACCCTTTCCTTGTAATTCTGTCTTTGAAATTTAAAAAAATTACCCCTTACTAAGTCATAGCATAGCACCAAAGAATATTCACAACTGTCTGGAAAATCACTAAGTGTTCTTCCCTTTTCCAAATCGATTTCTGAGATGAGACTTTCCTCATATATTACAAACTGACTTAATGAGAATGCACGTCAGAAGCCAACAATCTTGATTTAAAACATTCAAGAAATACACAAGCACATAAAATATCACTGCTCTGCCAAAATTTCTTATTTTGGAAATATATTTGTTGCTCGTAAAATAAGTCATGTATATAAACATGTCACTGGTTTATTGTAGTGATTTAAAATAAAGTTATTGCAGTTTAAATGCCTAAAACGCTCATAAACACAAGCCATGTTAAGGATCTCAATTATTTTTGTGAGTGTGAAGTGGTTGAGTCCGAAAAAAATTTGAGCATCACTAATGTAGCACACAGAACTTACCTAAACTTGTGACTGTTAGAGGACTCTACTACTGTGATAATATGGCAGAAACGGTGGAAAATGTGCATAGCAAGGGGAGGGAGGAGGAAGAATTCCTATACTACAAAACTGTATCATGGAAAATAATAATAAACACAGGGAGAAAGAGGACTTACCTATGTAGTATCTACCAATATGTCACACAATATTCAGTCTAAAACCCTTTTCAATATACATTTTCCTTTTCTAGGTAAATTTCCTTGGGAAAACACAATTCCCTATCTCCCAATTCTACAGTAACAATTTTATGTGGAGTCAAAATAACCCAAGTCCACTTACCAAGTGCTCAGAGCTAAAGCTATAACTGCCAGCCCCCTTCCTTCGGCGAAGTCCTGGACAGGTGGAAAGCGAGTCTAGGACAAGTGGCAGTCCGCCCTCTGTGTCCTCTGGCAGCCTTGGGAAATCAAATAAAGCTGCCTTCTGCAACAGATGTTTTACTTCGGAGAAAATGAGGCTCTCGGAGAGAGGTTTGCTTGTTAAGACCTTGAATAACAACGCTCTGCATCCAGAGTGAATTCACCGCCTTCCTCTAGCCTAGCAAAATTTCTCAATAGCCCAAAAAAGCAAACTTACTGTCTAAAAGTGGGTGTGGGGAGATGATTAACTACCCAAAATATGTGCTAGTCAAACAGTTTAAATGTAAAATGTTCTGACTTCCCAATTTTTCTTTCTATTGTTGAAGGCTCGATTAGCTCCTCACTAGGGCAGACCTTTTTTTTTTTTCAATCCCTTTTTATACCTGTATCTGGGGTGAGGGAAGAAACAAAGGAAGAAGCCCCACCCAGCCTCCCACCCATCCCAGGCCCCCGACGTGAGGCCTGCTCAAGCAGTTTTCATAGTTCAACAGGTCTGAATTGCTGTCAATCTTGCCATTCCAATCACGATGAAACCTATTCAGAGTCCACTGGCTGACATAGTCTCTTCATGGTTGGGGTTCTGAGATCAGCAGTTCAGTTGGAGGGATATCCAAGGAAACTTCGCCTGAGGTGATCCCAGACCTGATTGTGTGTGCTTGCCAGTACAGGGTCCAGCACAGTCCGTCGGCCCAATCAGCTTATGCACACACCTGTCTTCCACGCACATCGATGGGTGTTGCAGTCTAGTCTAATCCTGTCCACTTCACACTCGATCCTCATGCAAACC